TATCCTCCAGCACATTCTTTCTTCCATTTCTTAAATAAAGCAATGATTATTTTTCACAACTAGATTTTCATTTTCTTCCTTTCTCTCTCATATTATGTTTCTCTATTATGTTTTCTTCATATGCTCTCTTATGTAAATGTTTCTCATTTTTTTCATAATAATAACTAACATTTCTTGATGTTTACCTTTTATCAGGCACTATGATAATTATCTCTATTGCATTATCTCACTTCAGCCATACAGGAAACTTAGTATCCCCATTTTCAGATATAGATATTTCACCTTTAAGATGTTGAATGAATTCTTTAAAGAAAAAGCTCCTAAGTTTCAGAATTGAGAGGAGACCTCAGATGTGTGTGTGTGTGTGTGTGTTTGTGTGTGTGTGTGTGTGTGTGAAGGAACAGATACTTTGTTATAGGAAGCCACTTATTTGTTTCCCCACCACCCAGACTCCTGAAAAAATAACAGAGAAACTATATTATTTAAATCACTGCTTGGCCCATCAATTAAGCATATTGCTAGTTAGTTTTTATATCTTTAGTTAACTCATTTCTATTATTTTATATTTTATCACAAGGCTCGTAGCCTACCAATAAGGTTCCAGCTAGCAGCTCACATCTTTCTCCTCTGTCAGCTCCATGGCATCTCCCTGACTCCGCCTACACTCTCTGTATATATCTTTTCCAGCCTGGCTATATCCTGTTAAGCCATTGGCCAAAAGCAGTTACTTTATTCATTAACCAATAAAAGCAACACAAATACAGAAGGACTTCCCACACCAATACTTTGTTCTTAGGTTATCTGAAACATTATATGCCTATCATAGATAGGAACATAAAGAATATGATAGGGAGGAACATAAAAGATATCTTCTAAAAACATTCATAATCACCTTACTTAAGAAGAATGAGAACTACAACTTTGCCATTTTCTTTATTTCTAATATTTCTTACGTAGTAAACAGCAATAGTTGCACCTTTTAATATGTATTATGAATTGGTAAGCATATTAAATTAATAATATATAAAAATCACAAAGCATCCTATTTTAACAATGAATCATATGTTGATACCTATGGGGGAAAGTGTATTTTGCGTGTTATTTTAAAATATATTCTTGGGCCTGGAGATATGGCTTAGTGATTAAGAGAACTAGCTACTCTACTGGAGGACCCAGTACCAGCATGGCCACTAAAAGCTGTATGAACACTAGTTCTGGGGGTTCTGACACCCTCACACACTCATACATGCAGGCACAAAAACAGGGCACATAGAAATAAATAAATAAATCTTCTTTTAAAATTCTCAACAGAGAGCCAATAATTTCTTGACTATTGGTTTGGAGCGATGCCTCATCATGTGAGAGGTTACGCCATTGATAGATGGAAAGGTTAGGTGTGCTTCTGCAGGCAAGTGTTAGCGATTAAGTGGACTTTGGTTCCTAATACATTTGACTGACGAAAACACGTGAGAATTGCAAGAGGAAATTCCAGGGAGCCATTGAATTTGTTTAAATGGGTGGCCAATTCCGTTCCACAAGATGAAACTGCTGCAGACAAAACTGCAGGCGTGTCTGAAACAGCAGACACTGAGTGGAACTGTCAGGTACAGTAGTAGATTGAAGAGGAAGTCTGTATGAAGATAGCTTCCTTAGGCAATGGCTCAGAAATACCGTAGAGGACAGGCGTTTGGGTGGAATGGTGCACTGCTGGAGCTTGGAGCTAATGATACATTGATGTGCCTTAAGTTGAAGGGGTGACTTTACTCAACGAGGTTTTCCGCAGTTAGAGTACACAAATTAATTTTAAATAGCTGTGGCCCTCTGGCCAGATTCTATTTCAAGCAACTGGGCGGAAGGGAAGTTGAATGTCCTAGTTCCCCAGCTTGACATTACCTCCTTTTAAGAACTTCATGTGGATTCCTCATCTGTTTTCATTTTAATGTAAAGCCCATAATTCTCAATTCTTTATATTAGCAAAGAACAAGGTAAAGCCAGTGAGACATCATGCCCCTATCCTTACCTACAGTGAGTGACCTTACCATTGATATCTTTCTATTTTTAAAGTAGAGATCAATATTTCATGAAGTGAAACGAGAAAGATGAGCAAAGAGACCATACCGAAGGAGCACACAGCCGATGATCTAACGACAAGTTTATGTTTCTACCATATTCACTTTTAAACAAATCACTCTGGGCATGTCTTACCTACTTATCAGAAATGTTCATGCCTCCGGTTATATATATCCATCTGTTAACTGTCTGCTGACTCCTCTCCCCAACCATGGCCACACTTCTCTTTCCTTATGGGAATATGATATCCAAAGGGATGGGTGTGTTCCTATGTAGACCTACTCTCGTTAATCTTCCATTCTATGCACTATGTTAAAATTGCCCACCTCACCTATGTATTCAGAACAACCATGTGAGTTAGGTTGTGTTTTGTTTATACTTGTAACTGACAAAGATGTCAACATACACAAAAAGAAACAATTAGTAGGGTTTGAATAGATGTAGCCTTCCTTTTTTTCTACAGCTCCCTTCTACGAAAAATAGTGGTCAAGATATGATTAGTATTCTGAACATGAAGTAATGGTAAACTGTGCTTTTTCATTATCATGAGATGGCAAAATTACCCACTCTCAAAGGACCAGCTGCTCCAGGGTGGCTGGCATCCCTGATGCATGCCTACATTCTCAAAACTATTTTAATTGGTAGCTTTCCGGGTATTTTTTGTTTTGTTTTGTTGGGGAGGAAATGTATGTGTAAACCTATTAAAGCCATTCCATCTGTTCTGATGAAATAACATCACTACATCTTAGTGAAATCTTCCATCGCAGGATTTTAAGGCTGCTGCGGGTTCTCATAAAGGGTTGAAACAACAGCTTCTTAAGCAGACATTAAAAAAATTGGGATACCATACACCTAAAAATCCTCCCCATGCATTTGTATAATATTCCCATGATAAACTTGTATTTTTAATTGATAGGCATAATAAACATAAAATGGGGCATCACATTAGAAATGTTTTTTAATAAGAAGGCTTGAAGGATTCAGGTATATTTCAGTACAAGAGTACTTGCCAAGCATGCCTGAAACACTAGGCTAAGGCACCCAACGCTGCAAAATAAATAAATACAAATAGGTGGTTAAGTAAGTAGGTAGAGAATAGATGACGATGATGATTATGGGGATGACGGTGATGATAGATGGATAGATAAATAGATAATAGATAGATGATAGATAGATAGATAGATAGATAGATGATAGACAAATAGATAAATATATAGATGATCTATATAGATAGATAGGTAGATGATAGATAGACAGATAGATGATCAATATAGATAGATAGATGATAGATAGATGATAGATAGATAGATAGATAGATAGATAGATAAATAAACAGACAGATAGGATACATAGGTACGTAAGACACATAGACTTTAGAACACATCTAGTCTCTGCCCAGCCTTCCAGTAGCAGGACTTAACTACTTACTACATATTATACTAATTTCCACAATGGACATCAGTCTTATTCCACAAAGCTATAAAACAAATACATTATTAGGAATATTATACATCAATACATACTGCACCATAAATATATTTATTAGGAGTTTATTATATGCTAGGATTTACAGAAAGGATTATTATATATTGTCTAGTTTATTGCTTCATAAATCATTTATAGCAGATGTTACTATTGTAAAAGTAAAGAATATGGAGGTTTAGAGAGATTCAGAAAATTGCCTATACATACAAAAGAAGAAGATGAGAATTAACAACTAAATTTGTTTTTTCATATTCAACAAATATTTGCCCAATAATATATCTCTTAGACAAAACCAGACATTGGATGGGGGAAGAAGGGAATGGAAGTTGGGAAAGGGATCAACCACATTCATTTTTCTGTGGTCATTTTGAAAAGAAGGGCTCCAAAGGTAATACAGAGGACCCAAGAATGTTAGTCCAGAGGTTTTGGAAGTCGTCCAGAGAAGATGTGGTACTTACTTCAGCCAGGTGGTAGCAGGGAATATGAGCAACCTTGGATTACCACTGCATTTACTCTGTATTTTTATCTGAAGATATAGTGATGGGGGGAAGAAGGGGTCAGGTAAGAACAGTTACTCACTTTTGACTTGGACCAACAAAGTAGCCCGAGATGGGGAACCTTAAGATGATTGGGCAGAGTGAAGGAATCTTTCTAGCCAGAAATCCACGCTGTTAGACAATATTCAAGTTATCACTAATCTTTATCATAAAAATAAACTAACTGGAAAGGAAGTCAAATCGTGCCTTCCTGTTTGAGGACAGAAACAATTAAAAACATTACATAATTCTTAGTTTTTTTTAAAGAAACATCTTAGACAGGATTATCTGAGGATCTCGTCAAGCTTCATTAAGTCTAAGCTTCAATATTTATAATATTGTGAGATGAATTTCAGGGAAAAGATATTTAAAGATAATTCAACAAGCTAAACACATTGAGATGGCTGTTTTATATGTTTTTCCTTCCTACATAGTTATATTTTTGAGAGTTTCTACAATCATTGCATAACACTTTTATATCTAGTGAGTTAAGAATTTTGCAAAGTTAAATGGTAAAAATCGCATCTGTTTTGTCTATATAGTATGTCGCAGTAACTTCTGAGAGGTCTTTAGACCATAACTTTCAGTCTAAGCAATTAAGACAGTAAAAATAATGATGTCATTGATAGATTTCCTTCTAACTATGCCATACGCCTCTCAGTTCAAGTCACACCACTGTAGTGGAGTCTAAGAGGGAAACTGGCTAGCCTTGTGGTCCTTGTCTGGAAAGCTAAAATGACAAGGAACTTGATCTTGACTTGAATTCTTATACTGTAGGTAAGAAACCTTACAAATTCAAACATTTTCAAGTCTCTCACACTCTTGCCCTCTTGTTAAGGATAGATAGCAATGGTGAATTCACTTCAGGTCCCTAGCTCCTGCTCAACCTTGCCTCTTCCTCCCTTGCAGGGTCAATGATTGTATCTTGCGGGTGAATGAGGTTGACGTGTCAGAGGTTTCCCACAGTAAAGCAGTGGAGGCCCTCAAAGAAGCGGGCTCTATTGTGCGGCTGTATGTGCGGAGAAGGCGACCCATTTTGGAGACTGTCGTGGAAATCAAGCTTTTCAAGGGCCCGAAAGGTAATAAAACTGTAAGACTCGTACTGAGGCACAAATGTCAAAGTTGTTTGTCTAAAATTTACTCCATAACCTACCTATTTACTCCATGACCTTTAAATCTCTGACCTGCATTGCTTACCCAGCAGACTTGACACTCTATGATAGTGATTTTTACAGATGGTTGAAGAGACAAGAACCCTACACACAAACTCATGTAAGAAGAACATTTATTTATAGGAAATGCCACAACTAATATTAACAACCACCACTTCATATTTTCTATGAACTTTTAACTGACAGGCTTGTTGTAACTCGGCCAGCATGTTAATACTTTCTAATATTTCAGATGTGCCTGGCAAATTCTTTCAGATAACCAGATATTAATATAAGTAACAGAGATAATCTTTACTGGGACTGGTGAGATTGCTCAATAGTTCAGAGCTTGCTGAGTTCAGTTCTCAGCACCCTTATCAGACAACTCACAACCACAGGTTTCTCCAGCTCCAAGGGTTCTCACGCCCTCTTCTGGCCTCCGTGCACACCTGCACACACATGCCAGTCACTCACATAGACACATACATGTAAAAAAAACTAAATCTTAAAACAACCTTCTTTACTGATACTAAATTATATTTCATAATACAATTTCTTTTGATTTTGTATTGTGTATTGAAGTCAATATGTGTTGTATTGCTCTTAGCTTGGAACAGACAAAATAAGTTAAGCTTATTTTTTTTAATGTTTATAGATGTTTGGGTATTCTTGTGCTTGCACCAAGAAGCTGGTAAGCAGTGAGATTGAATGGTTATATGAATTTCACTTAGAACACTGACATTTACACTACTTGAATAGTATTTCAGATGCTTCAGAAAATTTTAATAATTAGTTTAACACAATTAAAGTAATATTTTAGATTATGATTGGGTAATTATTGGACTCTTCATAAAGTATTTAATATCTAATGCTATATGTGTGATTGAAAAAAACAAGCACATCATCTTCTCTGGGGAACAGTATTAAGTGGTATTTGCCATCTTGGACACAAGAACCAGGCAACTCATTAAGAGCCTAATTCAGCCATTTACTTGTGTAATTACCTTCATTAAATCTATGTACTAATGAAAGGAAACATTTCCTAAAGAGCTTGCACATAGTAGGAAGAAGCATCGACCAAAGACCAGAGCATGTAAGTTGAAGCCCTCTCTGCCTTCACGGGTTGTTTGACTTGGAATAGAAAGGTTTCAATCCCTTGGCCTTAATTTTCTCACCTACAAAACACAATTAAAAGCAAGACTTGTTCTTGGAGAAGTTACAATGATTCATTGAGATAGTTCACATATTTAGAATAAATCCTGGTGCAAACATAAATATTAGCTATGCATGCAGGTTATTTGAAGTATTTTTATTTACTAAATATGGTAGCAGAATTTTAGCAATGTAATGAAAATAGCTTAAAGGCTTCTCATGACTTAAGTGCAGGTGAGTTAGAACTCAAGTATGAATAGAGGTCTACCCTATCCATTTACTAATGCCACAGTAGAACTTTGCCTTTTAAAGCCAAACAAATGGAACATTGATTTAATTCTATTAAATATATATATTGTCATATAAATAATATGTGTCTATTTATACAAATCAGCTAAAAGCAGTTATTCATCAGTTTCCTAAGCAGAGGCTAATTTAAGCCCTCAAGAAAATATTGCCATTCTTTTCCTGGCTTCCTGCTCTGAGTCAGTGGATGGCCTCCAGCTGCTCAGCCAAACACTTAGAGGCTGCAGGGAGCTGATGCCCCGATCACCTTCATTTCCCCAGGAACACGTCTGTTGGATCTTTATTCTGACATTAGACCCCCTCCAGCTCTTTTACTTCATGCTGAACCATTTTCTTCTCTGAGCCTGTCACGGGGCACAAAAGCCTAGTGACCTGGAGGAGAGAAGCATGTAGAGAAGACTAATTAACCTGGTAGGCGGGAAGTAGCCCAAGGAGCATGCGCAGTATATGGAGCTGCTCTCCTGTGCCAAGGAAATCCTGGGAACCACTTCCTGTCCTGAAAGCTTGCTGTATGGAGCCGACTGGGGAGTGGGCTGAGTCAGTCCTACTTTTTGTACTGGGATCTTTCTGTACAGGTCTGATAGGGATTTGTGTCTCTCTGCAATGTCTATTGATTAACAAGAAAAGAAAGTCATTATTTGAATTCCAGATGCCTTTCCCAGTGCCTGAATTTCATGAAGCCTAGACTTAGAGTAACAGATAATTCGACTGTATACCGAATCTGTAGAGAAGCTGCCTTCTTCGCTTTAGTTCAGTATGCTGCAGTTCTTCATCTTAGAATGACAGCCTTCCTGAAAGACGTTTCCACCGTGACTAATGACGTTTCCACTGTGACTAATTTGTATCATGAAAACTCGAATCCAATATGAAGGATGAAGATAAATCAGTCTCTTTCCTCAAAAGTTCTAATAGAAATGATGACTCTAAAGTCAGCCTATTTAATGGTGTTTTCAAGGCAAAATGACATTGGTTCTGGGATAGAACTTGAGCCATGAGTTTAATGGAGAGTTGGGGTGGCTGTGGGATTTCTTAGCCAGAAGAGGCAAAGCACCCCAGAGAACTGGAAACATTCCACCATTCCATGTGCATACGGTTCCCTATCTGGTTTTGTCCAGAGAGTTGTCTGACAATAAGCATCAACATCCTAGTCAGTTAGATGTATTCAACAAAGTGTATTTAACATATGGCTATCTTGGCTAACATAGTAACCTGGCCCTTCAGTGATTCAACAAATGCTTATTAAATATTTCCTATGATATGACAAAGAGAGACAGGGACTCACAAAGAGGTGTCTCTTGCTCTCAGGAAAATTATAGTCGGATAAGGAAAGCATCAATAATATAAACTGGGGAAACTAAGAATGAATGTAAGATATTGAGGGAGAACGAATTAGATAATATGCCAAAGGAGACAAAGGCTACCCAAAGTAACTATTAAATTTTAAGTCAAAAATAGCCATATAGGAAGGCAGGAGAGCTTTTCGGGTACAAATGAAAACACGGCAACCGAAATCTAGGAAAGATCTTCATGTAGTGTAGTGGTCAAGCAGTAAGATAAACAATAGTATGGGTTCATATGGCTGGGGTAAGTAGAAGCCAGATAATGCTTTGCTGTTTAAGAGATTAAAAGTTTAGACTTATGTAAACTCGGGAAGAAATATTGTAAAAATTTTTTTAAAGTAATTTTATTAAATTATAAAAGTTTCCATTTACGCCCCTCTTCCCAACACCCTCCCACTCCCCCCCCCTCCCTCTCCTCCTCCCTCTCCATCCCTAAGGGCAGTCAGGGTTTCCTGCCCTGTGGGAAGTTCAAGTTCCTCCCCCCTCCCTCCAGGTCCAGGAAGGTGAGCATCCAAACAGACTGGATCCCAAAAATCCAGTATATGCAGAGGAAACTAGTCCCAGTGTCATTGTCAATGGCTTCTCAGAAAGACTCCGGGCCAGCCACATTCAGAGAATCTGGTTGGATCACGTGCTCGTAAAAATTTTAAACATGGGATGGATATGATAAGATCCATCGTGTTTGCTTGTTTGTTTGTTTCTAGACATGGTTCCTCATATAGCTCTGGCTGTCCTGGAACTCACTCTGTAGACCAGGCTGAACTTGAACTCAAAGATCTTCCTGCCTCTGCCTCCTGAGCCCTGGGATTAAAGGCATAGGCCACCACCACCAGGCTTATTCCTCACCTTTTGGAACTCATTTTGGCTGCTATAAAGAAAACAAATTGAATGAGAGAAGAACCCAGTTAGATATGACATGGAGGAGAAAATGGAGTTGAGCTTTGTGTTAGAAACATGCTAAATACACATAATTGAACATAGCTAATTGGTTAGAACAGCAACACTATTGGTTGAGGACTAGACAGGGAACTGCGTGCATATGGACTGCTTCCCTTTTTCTGGCATGTTTTGCCTCTTCTGGTGAAGATGGATCATACAGCACCCCCCCCCCCATTTGTAAACTATATGTGGGTTGTTCTGCACATTAGAAACCTTCTGGAAGCCCACTGTGCATTTCTAATGAAATGTAAAAATGCCTTCGTCAACATGAAAATTTCCTCTTAATCTTATGGTTAGAGGTTTAGTCGTTGAAGGAATCTGGGGTATCTGGTGTCAGTAGTGGGCAAGCGTCTGTAGAAAGTAATGACTAAGCAGATCTATTTAGGTTTGCCAAGAAATCAAAAATTAAAGACAGAAAATCTGAATGTGTAGGGGGTGTTCCAAGGAAAGATTTATAATAAAAGCCCTCTAGTGGCTTTCCTAGGAATTCCTTTGTATCGATAAACCAAAGAAGTCTGTCATTAAATACACATCAAGATCATTGGTCAGGGTGGCCCAGTCTAAACAGTTTTTAAGTTTTATAAGAAGTTATGCTGCTCATTTGCTTATGCCGGGTTAAATAGACCGTTTCCATGTATGTGCATGATATGCTTTGGACAAACCCCCTAATGCACCACCCTTTCCTTCCTTACCCGTTAGATTTGTCTTCTTTGCTCTTGTAGGCAGTTTTGTTTCTACTTTCGTATCATATGTATGTGTGACTTTATGTGTCTACATAAAGCCTGGGACTCAAAAGTGAAAGAAAATGTGATGCTTGTCTTTACTTAATTCACTTACTATGGCTATTTCCAGTTCTACCTGTGTTTCTGCAAATCACATGACTTTGCTCATGCGTATAATTTCCTTTATCCACTTATCTTTTGGTAAACCCATGTGAGGAGTCCCTAACTTGTTACTTTGAACAGTGCTTCAGTGAATACTGATGTATGTGCAAGTATCTCTGATATGTTGAATTGGAATCCTTTGACTAAACATCACGAGCTTTGCAACTGGGTCACATGATACGTCTGGTTTTGTTGTTGTTATTTTTGAGGAACCTGATGGTTTTTACTAATTACTCTTGTGAAAGAGTTCCTTAAGGCCTAGTCAGAAAAATTAAGAATGTCAACGTTGGAATTTTATTGATATATA